GTTGCAGTTTGTCTCCGGCCCTGGCTGGGTCATGTGGGTGGCAGCCACTCGATGTGTTCCTTTCACATCGATGTCTCTCTCCTTCCCACTCTATCTGAATAAAAATGGGAAAATGTCCTCAGATGAGGATAAAAAAAAAAAAGAAGTAGATGTTGAAGAGGCAGTTGGATATATAGGTCGAGACCTCACACAAGAGGTCTGAGTTATAGATACTGCCCTTTTGGTAGGTCAGAAACTTAAATTTTGGTATATCCATAAGTTTAACCTAATAAGTAATTATTACAGTCAGGGAAATGAATATGATTCCTTAAAGCGTTTAGAGAGAGAAAAGCTGAGGATCCGATTGAGCTCTCTGGACATTCTGTCACATGCTACAATATGGATGAGCCTTAAGGACATTATGCTAAGTGAAATAATTACAAACAACAAATCTTGTATGATTTCACTTGTGTAAGATATCCAGAGTAAGCAAACTCATCAAAACAGGAAGTAGGCCCCGCCCAGTTTGGCTCAGCAGTTAGAGCGTCGGCCTGCGGTCCAGAGAGACCCGGGTTCAGTTCCTGCTAAGGGCATGCACTTCCATTGCAGTTTGTCCCTGGTCCTGGTTGGGTAGTGCCGGTGGGCAGGCACTCGATGTGTCCCTTTCACATCGATGTTTCTCCCTCTCTCACTTCCTCTCTCTCCCTCCCGCTCTATCTGAACAAAAAATGGAAAAATGTCCTCGGGTGAGGATTAAAAACAAACAAACAAAAAATAGGAAGTGGAATGGTGGTTGGTTGCCAGAGTTAAGGGGATAGGGAATTGTTTAATGAGTATGACTTCAGTTTTGCAAGATGAAAAAATTCTGGAGATTGGTTGCACAACAATGTGAATATACTTAAACATGAAAACACAAATTTCTCTAACCAGTCCTATTTTTGACATTATTGAATTATACACTTAAAATGGTTTGGATGGTCCTGGCCAGTTTGGCTCAGCGGTTAGAGCATTGGCCTGAGGACCAATGAGTAGCGGGTTTGATTCTGATCAAGGGCACAAACCTCAGTTGCAATTCGTCCCCAGCCCTGGTCAGGGTGGTGCGGGAGGCAACCAGTTGATGTTTCTCTCTCTCTCTTCCTCCACTCTTTCCCTCTCTCTCCTTCCCTCCCACTCTATCTGAAGAATAATGGAAAAATATTCTCAGGTGAGGATTTAAAAAAAAAATGTTGATGAGTGTGGGTACTAGACAAACTTCATCTTTTTTGTTTAAATTTTATTGATTTGAGAGAGAGGAGAGAGAAAAACATGGATCCGTTGTTCTACTTATTTATTCATTCATTGGTTGATTCTTTTATTTGTCCTGGCCAGGGATTGAACCCACAATCTTGGCGTATCAGGACAATGCTCTAACCAACTGAACTACCCAGCCAGAACAAATCTTATGTTTTTAGAGCATCAATGAATTTGCAATTCCCCAAATGACAATATTAACTCATGTATTTATTTATTTATTGTTTTACCTTTTTTTTTTTATCCTCACCCGAGGACATTTTTCCATTTTTTGTTCAGGTAGAGTGGGAGGGAGAGAGAGGAACAGAGAGAGAGAGAAACATTGTCGTGAAAGGAACACATCGAGTGGCTGCCACCCGCACGACCAACCAGGGCCGGGGACAAACTGCAACCGAGGTACGTGCCCTTAGCGGGAACCGAACCCGGGTCTCTCCAGACCGCAGGCCGACGCTCTAACCGCTGAGCCAAACCGTATTTATTTATTGTTTTAATCCTTACCCAAGGACATGCTTATTGTTTTTTTTCTTTTTGGAGAGAGGAAATGGGGGGAGGGGGGAAGAAATATCAGTGTAATAGAGACACATCAATCAGTTGCCTGACATTTGCTCCCCGACTGGGGACCAAACCCGCAGTCTACCTGTGTACCCTGACCAGGAATCAAATCTGCAACCTTTCAGTGTACAGGATGACGCTCCAACCAACTGAGTCACCTGGCCAGGGCCCAAATGACAATTTTGACTCTAGTTTACAGATTAGTAGATCGTGTGTTGAGATCTTGTACCTCATAAGGGCATAGAAGAGTTTAGAGGTGTGAAGAATTGGGGCTTCACAACCAGAGGACATATCCCAGCTCTGACCCAGGTCAACCACTTAACCTTTCTGGGTCTGTTTCCTGCTCCGAAAAATTGAGATAACCACCTATCGTGCAGAGTTGTTGTAGGAATCCAAGGACAACCCTGGCCGGTTTGGTTCAGCTGTTAGGGCATCAGCCTGGGGACCAATAAGTCATTGGGTTCGATTCCAGTCAAGGGCATGTACCTTGGTTGCAGTTCGGTCCCCGGCCCTGGTCAGGGTTGTGTGGGAGGCAACCAATTGATGTGTCTCTCTCATATCAGTGTTTCTCTCCCTCACCCTCCCACTCTGTCTGAAAATAAATGGAAAAATATCCTCGGGTGAGGATTTACAAAAACAGAATCCAAGGACATAAATACCCAAAATTCTGGCATGGTGCCTAGTGCTTCACAGATAAGAGTGGGCTATTGTAGTATGGGTGTCAGTGACTCTTAACCATTGGTGGTTATCACCCCATACCAGTCCCAGGTCCCAGTCTTAGCCTTGAGGGCAGAGTGGTTCTACTAGTCCATTATGCATCTTTTCCATGTTACTGTTGAACCATGAATTCTGGCCTTAATTGTCTAAAAAGGGCCTGAATTTTGATTGCAGGAAGTTTCCCATTAAGTGAAGATGCAAGGATAACAGAGCCGGGAACATCGGCTAGCTTATTGGAGTAGAGGAGATTGTTGGTGTCCTCAGAAGCTGCAAGCTGCCACAAAAGGCTGGTTAAAAGATACTCTCTACCTTTTGGAACCCATAAGAGTGAAATAATAATAGTGATAAAAAATACTTACATTGCTCTGGCCGGTTTGGCTCAGCGGTTAGAGCGACGGCCTGTGGTCTGGAGAGACCTGGGTTCGGTTCCCACTAAGGGCGCATATCTCGGTTGCAGTTTGTCCCCGGCCCTGGTTGGGTCATGTGGGTGGCAACCACTTGATGTGTCTTTTTCATGTCGATGTTTCTCTTTCTCTCTCTCTCTCTCTCCCTCCCACACTATCTGAACAAAATATCAAAAAATGTCCTCGGGTGAGGATAAAAAACAAACAATCAAACAAAAAATACTTAATTTGTTGAACACTTACTGTGTGCCAAATGCTTTCATTTGAATCATTACAATAACCTTTTGAGATTGATCCCAATATTAACCTCATTTTATAGATAAGGAACCTGAGTTTCAGAGAAGCCCCACTCTTACAAATGAGAAAACCAAATCTCAGAGAGGTTAAGTAACTGGCCTATGGTCCTACAGGTAAGAAATAATAGAGTTGAGCCTGGCTGGTGTGGCTCAGTGGTTGAGCATCAACCCATGCACCAAGAGGTCGCCGGTTCGATTCCCGGTCAGGATACTTGCCTGGGTTATAGGCCTGATCCCCAGTGGGGGGCATGCAGGAGGCAGCCAATCAATGTGCACTCTCTCTCTCTCTCTCCCCCCCCCTCCCTCTTCCTTTCCCTCTCCCTCTCCCTCTCAAATCAATACAGAAAAAATTTTTTCTAATAAAAAATAATAATAATGCCCTGGCCAGTTTGGCTCAGCGGTTAGAGCGTCGACCTGCGGTCCGGAGAGACCCGGGTTCGGTTCCCGCTAAGGGCACGTACTTCGGTTGCAGTTTGTCCCCGGCCCTGGTTGGTCGTGCGGGTGGCAGCCACTCGATGTGTCCCTTCACATCGATGTTTCTCTCTCTCTCTCCCTTCCTCTCTCTCCCTCCCACTCTATCTGTACAAAAAATGGAAAAATATCCTCAGGTGAGGATAAAAAAAAAAAAAATAATAATAATAATAATAGAGCTGGGATTTGAGCCTAGGTGATCTGACTGCAGAGCTGTGAGACATTAGAGTGGCAGATGATTCAAAAAGTATCAGAGCTAGAAGAGCTCTTGAAGTCATGTTGAAGTACATGGCCTATATCAGGCACTTAGTAAATAATAGCTACATTTTATTATAAGTATTATAGTTATGAGTTGTAATATAATTTTTTTATAGTTGAGAAAAGCTGAGGATCAGAAAGAGGAAGGGAGTCCCAGCCCCATGTTCTCATATCTTGGCTCTGGACTATATGTCTTTCCTAGATCATATGGAGAAATGCCCCTTTGTCATTTGAGTGGCCTGGTAGTAGACAAGATGTATGAGAGCCCGAAGGTAGAAAAACAAATTGATTTTCAAAACGCATTTTCTTTTTTTATATATATATTTTTTTATCCTCACCTGAGGACATTTTCCTATTTTTTTGTTCAGGTAGAGTGGGAGGGAGAGAAAGGAACAGAGAGAGAGAGAGAGAAACATCGATGTGAAAGGAACACATCGAGTGGCTGCCACTCGCACGACCGACCAGGGCCGGGGACAAACTGCAACCGAGGTACACGCCCTTAGCGGGAACCGAACCCGGGTCTCTCAGGACCACAGGTCGACGCTCTAACCGCTGAGCCAAACCGGCCAGGGCCATTTTCTTTTTTTTAGAGAGGAAGAGAGAGAGAGATAGAAACATCAGTGAGCTGCCTCCTGCGCGTCTCCACTGGGGATCAAGCCCGCAACCCAGGCATGTGCTCTGACCAGGAATCGAACCGAGACCTCTCAGTCCATGGGATGACACTCAATCCACTGAGCCACACTGGCCAAGCAATCAGTCATATTTACTCAATAGATACCTACTCTGGACCTGGTTTGACACTGGGACTGGGGACATAGAGGGGAAAGATGTTCCCATCTTCAAGGTGCACATAGTCACATAGCATGTGTCCCCTGAGCAATGAGGCCTTTGGGATTCTCATCAAGGCCAACCACCCAAACTCACACTACCCCCTCTGTCCTCAGAAGTACCTTTGCATGCACTGTCAAAAGCAGCAATCCCCAGGTCTCTTCTTTTGGATAACTAAGCATCTTGGCTTTTATGTGTGTTTCAGCCGGGAAGGGCTACCCATGCAAGACATGTAAGATAGTGCTGAACTCCATAGAACAGTACCAAGCTCATGTCAGCGGCTTCAAACACAAGAACCAGTGAGTAATTATTCTTTGAAGTTCAAGGGTCTGTAGCAGGAGCTCTGGGCTTCTGAAACAGAACAAATCCAGATACTCCTTGGCTAAAAGGGAATCCTGGCAGCTTTTTCTCAGTCAACAGAAGATCAATCAGTTAACAGAAAGAAGTGTCTCCTCTGTAAGTTTTTCTCCCATCAGCTTCTCCCCAGCCTTTGGACCTCCTGGGCTGAAAGTTTTGGTAGAGAAGCATAGACAATTTCCTTGGTGGTCTCTTAAGATTACTTGGATTTCCTGGTCTGTAACAATCTAACCAGGGAAGCCTTTTTTCACTGACCTGAAGACCCTGTTCTCTACCATCAATTACGTTGCAAGAACTTCCTCTACAGGTCATTATAAAATATGACCAGGTTCTTTCATTCATTAATCAAATATTTATTGAGCACCTTCTGAGTCCTTGCTCTCAAGACCTTATATTCTGCTCTGGCCAGTTTGGCTCAGCGGTTGGAGCATCAGCCTGTGGACCAGAGAGTCCTGGGTTAGGTTCCCGCTAGGGGCACGTACGAAAAAAAAAAAAAGACCTTACATTCTGATAGGAGGAGACAAAACAAGTAAATAATCAATAATTACAAATTGCAATAAGTTCTTTGAAGGGAAGAGTTGAACAGAGTTCTCCATGATAATCTTGAAAATAACTAGCATTCTTTGAGTACCTATTCTGTTGCAGGCCATATGCCAAGCAAATTCTCTCTCAGGTAATTCTCAAGCATCCCTGGGAAGAAGGGATCATTATTTTCATTGTGCAGATAAAGGCAACCACCATTAAAGGTGAACCCGAGGCCTTTGGGATTCTCATCAAGGCCATCCACCCAACCTCACCCCACCCTATAATTCAAACTGAGGCTTATCTGGCTCACAGCATGCTCCTCTAGGGCATCATGCTGACAGGGAGATTGTAGCACCGGTGAGATGAAGAAGCTAGGGCTCAGCTGGGGAGGGTTATATCCCTTCATCTCAGAAAGGAACTGTGTAGCGTGGACAGTATACCACAACATAACCTTCTGAGGTAGTAATTGTTCCCATTTTACAGATGAGGAAACTGAGTTTCAGGCAGGCAAGTCTGCTGAAATAGCTTTGACTTTGATATTTGGTTTTGCATTACTCACAGAGCCAAATGAATTAAAGGTGGTAGAAACAGAGTGCTGGAGTAAAAAATGTCCTTGGTCCTCTCTACCCTGCCTGAAGTCTCCTCTCCCACACTGCAGGTCTTTCTCTTTATTTGTAGAAATGTCTTTAACTGGGAGGACTCTTGAGATTTCTCTTAGATATGGACTTGAAACAAGCTCCAACCAGCTTAGGGCTTACTCCTTTTTCAGCATACCTGCAACTTGTGACACCTTGACTGGTGACAGTTTCACAGACAATCTGAAGCCAGCCACAACCCTGTCCTGGAACAACCCATGCTTGAAAATGCTAATGTTGTTTACTATTTTAGTCCTATACTTTCCAGCTGTGTCACCTTGGGCAGGTCAATAAACTGCTCTGAGCCTCCAGTTCCTCTTCTATAAGACCATAACTACAATTTGTTGAACACCTACTTAAATCTCATCTAATTTACAACAGCGGCTCTGAATTAGGACCCCTCCCCCCTTTTACAACCCAAGGAAACCTAATGTCAGGTAGGTTAGGTGACTTGCCTAGGATTACATCTTGGAGTTGAACCCAGGTTTCAAACCTCTTTGACGCCAAAGTCTATTCATTTTGCTCTGTCACTTACTGTGGGCGGGTCAATTCTACTTTCTGAACTTTAGTTTCCTCATATGTAAAATGGGGGTACTATTCCCCACCCTTCTTGTAGAAAGGCCATGAGGAGGAAATAGTATGCTGGAAGCAGAGGACCCAGCATCGTGCCTAGCATGTAGTGGCCCTCAGTAAAAGCTCTCCTTGCCACTCCAAGACTCTGGAAGAGCTTTCTACCATTAGAGTAAGCTACCTGGAACACCATTACAACCACCACAAACTGACCCTGTGCCTTTGTTCCTTCTCAAATTACAGGTCACCAAAAACATTGGCATCACCCCTGGGCCAGATTCCAATGCAAAGACAACCCATTCAGAAAGACTCAACTACCTTGGAAGATTAGAGATGTTTCTGTCCAGTACCCCAGGTTGAACCAGCCATGGGCCAGCCTCCCCATGACCATGACCATGGTCAGTCCTTGGCTCCCTCTTCCTCCTTTCTTACATAGGCCTGAGGCAGGAGAGAGCCACATACAGCCTCTGGTTGGTCCAGGCAAATCTACCCCTGCTTCTCCCCTTTGGAGTGGGCCCTGTAAGACAGGACAACGGAAGCAGGGATTTTTGGAGGACTTAGGTTCTCACAGGGTGGTAGTATAGAAGATGGCCTTTCCCCTTCCCTAGCCCTTCTGGGCCATATGTCATGAGGCTCCAGCCCAGTATTTCCTCTGCAGGTCAGTTTGGACCAGTTTTTGCAGCTAAACAACTGAGCTCTCCCTGAGCTCTAGGCATCTCCAATAAACCTGGCACTTTCACACCAGACTTTGGCCTAGGCAGGAAAGGGCAGATGAAAGTAGCTGCTACGCCCCGACCAGTCTGGCTCAGTGGTTAGAGCGTTGGCCCTCAGACTGAAGGGTCTCAGGTTCGATTCCCAGTTAAGGGCATGTACCTGGGTTGCAGGTTTGATCCCTGGCCCCAGTCGGGGTCCTGTGGGAGGCAACCAGTCAATGTGTCTCTCTCACATTGATGTTTCTCTCTCTCTCTCTCTCTCTCTCTCTCTCTCTCTCTCTCTTTCCCTCTTCCCCCCTCCCTCCTCTCCCTTTCCATCTTTTCCCTTCCCTCCCTTCTACACCGTCTAAAAATCAATGGAAAAATATCCTTGGGTGTGGATTAAAAAAAAATTTTTTTTAAGGAAGTAGTTGCCACATGGAAGCTTAGAGCTAATGTAACACTTCCCCTACCCCAAAAAAGTGCAGGCTTTCCCAAGCCTGGAACCAGCCACCCACTGTGAAGTCTCCTCCTGGAGTAATATCACAATCCTAGCAGAGTTTTGCTGTCCCTCCTGCCCCTTCTCCACAGTTCCTGAATGGTGCTAAGGACCTGCAGCAGCTGGGAACAAGCTAGAGCTGGAAAAGGCCTCAGTACCCAATGGGATCATGGAAAGCTCCAGTTGGGGCCTTTCCCTTCCTCTGTCAGAGGTCCTCTGACCCAGGATCATATGGCAAAGTGCCCACATGCAAGTTTTCTTGATGGTTCTGTGCCCTTAAAGGCAAACTGCCTTGTGCCAGCCAGCTCAGAGATTCATTGCTGCCTTTCGGCCCCTACTAGCCTTCTCCTTCCCCACGTGCAGCAGACTACCTGCTCAGGTTGCTGTGGTGCTAGCCCTCCCCCATCACCCACCAGGAAATTCCAAGGTACCAGGGAATGGGATGGGGTGCCCAGGTGCAGAAAGGAGAGTTACTGCAAATTTCCACAGTGAGGAATTACATGTTCTTCAGGCCCCAAACCTAGATTTCTCCAACTCTGCCATGTTTTATGGCCTGGGACTTAACCAGGAGTATATTTTTTCTTGTATCTTTCAAGCAGGGATTCTAGGGAGTGACACCATCAGAGCCCTTCCCCACTTCATTGTGTCAAAGAAGCCCCTATTCTACTGTCATCACCTCCTCCTCACACTCCCTATCCTCTGTCTGCGAAATGCTTTTAGTATCATTTGTGGGTGTGTGGGTGTATGTGCTATGCTCTGTCTCTTGGTCACTGAAGCATCTAAATAATTTCTCTCATGAGCCAGACTGCAACTTAACAGATCTAGGATTTGGGGCCATATTGCCATTGGATCTGATATGTCTATCTTGATCCCTCTCCCTCATCCCACTCGGACTCCTAGGGCCCTAAATACTGATCTTAGGAGTTGGGACAGAGAGGCATCCAAATTGTTTGGCAACCCTATGGAAGTCTTCCCAGGTGCCCTAAACTCAGTGAAACCTCATCCACTCATCTACCTTCCCCTGGGATGGCAGGCCTGTTGGAGGTCTTTAGAAGGTTTAAACTAGTAACCTGCTTTGCTTGAGAGGATTATTTTGGCTGCTACCTACAGAAGGAATGCAAGGGAACAGGAAAGGACACAGACAAGGAAATTAAAATGGAGACTGTGTCCAACATGGCTCTTTCCAGGCTAACCCTTTCAGAGCAGAGACCTAGCCTTCTTCATCTCCACTTCCCTAATGTAAGAGTGGCATGTCATGAATGTTGAATGAATGAAGGAGGATGCATAAGGAGATGGCCTTGTCCCTCTCAGCTCTTAAACAGCAATAGGTTTGTTCCATGGGACTTATCATAGGTAATTCTTGGAAGAACCTTTTCCATGACCCAGAAATGAACTGAGAAAGGCGTATGATGGTTTCAGGAGTCCTTTGTCCAGCGTCCAAAGCCCAGACTGCCTCAGAGTTTCCCTAGAGTCATTCTATTCCACCCAGGATGTCAGAATTGGGCCCATCTACCAGGCAAGGAAGTGAAGGACAGAGGGATGGGTGGGCTGCCATGTCATGCCATATTCTTAGCCTGCAGAACTGCTTTGTCTGAATTCAGGAGTTCCTGCCATCTGTGTGCCCAGCCTTATTGGCATGAGGACACAAGAATGAATACTTTTTTCCTTGGGGAGCCACCCACTCTTTTTTTTTTTTTCAGATATAGTTTATTTATTTTTGTTACAGATGTTTCTCCTTTATCCCCCATTGACACCCGTCTCCCAACCGTCCCCACTTCACCCTCCGCCCCATCCCCAGCATTGTTGTTTATGTCCATTGGGAGCCACCCACTCTTAAAGACCATTATGGCAGTGGTCAGAGGGTCATGCAGGGTGCTGTGGGAATGCCCAGGTTGCAGGCACTAACTCAGCAAAGGGTATTAAAAGCTGGAGAAGTTGGGAAACTAGCATTTAATCAGCATAACAACCTTTTGAACTAGTTGATGCTATTCCATCTTATAGAAAAGGAACAAGGCTTGCCCTGGTTGGTGTGGCTCAGTGGTTACAGCGTCAACCCATGCACCAAAGGGTTGTGGGTTTGATTCCTGGTCAAGGGTATATACCTGGGTTACAAGTTCGATCCCCAGCCCCAGTTGGAGGCACATGCTGGAGGCAACCAATCGATGTGTCTTTTTCATATCATTGTTTCTCTCTCTTCTTCCCTCCCTTCCACTCTCTGTAAAAATCAAAAAAAGCATCCTGGGGGAGAATTAAAAATATTTTAAAAAGACACTCTGGCCGATTTGGCTCAGCGGTTAGAGCGTCGGCCTGGGGTCCAGAGAGACCCGGGTTCGATTCCCGTTGAGGGCGCGTACCTCGGTTGCAGTTTGTCCCTGGCCCTGGTTGGTCGTGTGGGTGGCAGCCACTCGATGTGTCCCTTTCACATCAATGTTTTTCTCTCTTTCTCTTCCTCTCTCTCCCTCCCACTCTACCTGAAGAAAAAATGGAAAAATGTCTTCGGGTGAGAATTTAAAAAAAAAATTGGAAAAAGAAAGCCAAGAAAAAGAACAAGGCTCAAAGAGGTGTGGGGATTTGATTTGCCCAAGGTCTTGCCACTAAGAAGGTGACAAAATGGGGAGTGGAATCCAGTTGTCTAGATTCCTATTCCAGAACCCTTTTCAAACAAGGACCAGACTCCTTCCCACATGATCCCTTAGCCTGCTTCACTCGTCTGGCCAGACCATGGTCTCAGAATGAGCAGGCACTCAGGCAGAGGTAGCAGCAGTACCCACAAAAGTGGTTACACAAAGTTCATTGGTTATTTTATATTCCAAGTCCCTTCAGACCTCTCATTATTTTACCCACGTTTCTCAGTGTATTATACTCTAATTATAACTCTAAGAAACTTCAAATGTTTAGCTATAAAGGAAACTTACTGATTCACCTAATGAAAATACTTGGTGCAGGGATGGCTAGATCCAGGTTCCAAAAGTGTCATCAGTAAGAATTTAATCTCACCATGCTTTTCTGTGTGGCCTCTTGGGCAGACTCTAGAGAAGGTGGCAAGATGGCCACTGGCAGCTCCAAGCTTATATCCCGATAGACTGGCAACTGCAGTGGAAAGAACATCCTTTTATACTAGTTCCAACAAAAAATTCTGGGACTGATTCATTAGCCAACTTGGTCCTGTTCCCATCCCTAAACCATTCACTGCAGGTAGTGGAAATGGTGCTTTGATTTAGGGCCTGCAAAGGAGTGAGTTCCACCTAAAACAGGTTGACTAAAAGAGAGAGATGTGTCCCTAAGAGAAAAAAGTGTGGGGCTTCCTTCAGACGAAGGAAAAGATTGGGTGTGGGTGGGCAAAAATAATTTGTCAGCCATACCCACAAAGTGTCTTTATTTAACCATTTCTTCTTTCCCTGACTTTTTGAGATACAGGATACATTTAGAATGTGTGCCAATTTTTAGAGTACAATTGATGAGTCATCCTCACATGTGTATTCATCTGGGCAGTCACCCTCCAGCAAGATACAGAACATTGCCAGCTCCCCAAAAGATTCCCTTGTTTCCCTTTCTGGTCAGTATCCTCCTGAAGTAAACACTATTTTGACTTCTATCACTATAACTTAGTTTTGCTTGCTCTTGAAATTTATAAAAATGGAATCATACATCCTTTTTTGCTCAATGTTATGTCTACGAGTTCATCCATGTTATTATGTATATCGGAAGTTCATTTTTTTCATGCTATATAGTAACCCGTTATATGAAAATACGACAATTGAGCTATTCTGCTGTTGATGGACAATTGGGTTGCTCCTAGTTTTGAACTAGCATAAATAAAGCTGTTGTGAACAATACCGTCTGTGTTGTTTGGTGTGCTGCTGCATCATAACGGTATGTACTTTTAGCCTATCTAGGTTCTGCCAAATGGTTTTCCAGAGTGGTTCTACAACCTACATAGCTACCTACGATGTGGGAGAGTTCCATTTGCACTATATCCTTGTCAGCACTTGCTCGTGTCAGTCTTTCTCATTTTGGCCAATCTGGTGACACCTAGGAATTTGAACCCAAGGGTCCTGACATCATATCAGGGCCCCTCTTACTCTGTTCACCCCCAAGATCAGGTTCAAATTTCTTTAGCCAAGAATGGTCTCTGAGGTCAGTACCCAGGACTCACAATACATCAGAGAGAGCTCTTGTCCATGGCTCTGGTGCCAAGAAAGGTCTCACAGAGGGAGTGCCATCAGCCATGGAGAAGCAGTCTAGTGTAGTAGCAAAGAACTCAGGCTCTGCAGTCAGGCAGCCAGGGTTCAGATCCCAATTCTGCCACTATGAGTCTATATGAATTGGTTAGTTTACATGTACCTCAGTGTGAAACAGTACCTACCTTGTAGGTTATTGTAGGAATAAAAAGAATAGCTACATATGAAACAATTATAGTACTTGGCACATGATAGATCCTATCTAAGCTGTGACTGCTGCTGTTTCTATTTTTGGCCTGAAGTAAGCTCTGGTTCTCCCTGGGAAGGAAGGTGAGTCCACAAGTAGATGGCATTTGGCACAGCCCCCTATATTAACACTTAATGATTGGCCCTGGCTGGTTTGGCTCAGCAGTTGGAGCATCAGCCTGCGGACCAGAGAGTCCTGGGTTCGGTTCCCGCTAGGGGCATGTACCAAAAAAAAAAAAGACTTAATGATTGAATGATTGTAAAGAGATCAAGGGGTGGGGGGAAGCAGAGAACAGTATGGTGATTACCAGAGGGAAAGGGGGGTGGGGGGAGAGGATAAGGGGAGACCAGTGGTGATGTAAGATGACGACTTGGGATGGTGAACACCATACAGTATACAGATGATGTATTATAGAACTGTACCCCTGAAACCTATATCATTTTATTAACCACTGCCACCACAATAAATACAAAAAAAATTTTTAAAGACTCAATAATTTATGAAATGCTGGAAACTTAATTCAGTCTGAAGGGACAGAAGATGCAGGGCAGGCAACATGTTGGCCAGAGGTGGCTCTTCCCTAGCCTCCAGCAAGAAGCCACCTTCTGACCCTGGCTGGATGGCTCATTTGGTTGGAGCATCATCCCGTACACCAAAAGGTTGCAGGTTCAACTCCCAGTCAGGGCACATACCTAAGTTGCAGGTTTGATCCCCAGTTGGGGCTCGTAGGGAGGCAATCATTCGATGTTTCTCTCTCTCTAAAAATCAATAAAAACATCCTTGGGTGCAGATTAAAAAAAATTTTTTTTTTAAAGCCACCTTCCGGTCTCTCTCTCTCTCTCATGCCTGTACCTTTCCTCTCCCTTTCTTCCTTCAAAGCATGTACCTTTGCTTTCTTTTTCCTAAGCTCCAAGGGCCCTTCTGTTACCTCTGTAACTTGTTTCCTGAGTCCACGCAGCCCAGCTGACTCACTTTTTCCATGGCTCACTTATTCTACCTCTGTGACTTTTTTTTTGGTACGTGCCCCTAGCGAGAACTGAACCCAGGACTCTCTGGTCTGCAGGCCAATGCTCCAAACCGGCCAGGGCCCTCTGTGACTTTTTAAATAAACGTTTGCTTGTAAAAAAAAAAAAAAAATACCTTCAACTGCTAGGGCACCTGAGCTTATTTCAGATTCCCCAGGCTCTGCAGCCAATGACACCTGGGGAGAAGACATTGAAACCATACATGTGTACAGCTCTGAGTCCAGAGCTGGATGCAAAGCAAGTGTTGGGATGTAATATCCCCTCAGAGCAGATACAGAGCTGTGCATGTATTCATAGAGCAGCCATGGAGTATGTATGGGACACTGGTCTGGGATTTGGGGTCCCAGGGCATTGGTCTGAGCCCTGCCACCAGCTTCATGTGATCTGAGGCCTTGATATTTGCTGTGAAGTAGAAGTTGGAGTCAAGAGGTAGTGATGATGGGCAGGTATAGAATTAAGCCTTTCTTTCACAGCAGGGCTTGCCAGGTGAGCTGCTCTCACTCCTAACCAGACCTTCCGCTGGGCAGTCACTAGCGTCAAATACAGCTGTTCCCTCTGACCATCTGTCCACCTAATGACCTCACTTATTCTACCCTGTGCCAAGTCCACATTATATAGAGGGCAACATGTCTCTATTCTGGCACTCCCAGGTTCCCCGACAACAAATGCTGCTTCACCTGTCCAGGAACTTCACAATACCAAACCAACTTCCAATACTGTAAATGGGTCTGAGCCACAATGCAATGACCCCAATGGCCACTAGGTGGAAAATGCTCCTTTTTTGCTGGGCAAAGTAGACCAGCCACAGGACCTCACTGTTTGGTTAATGCAGAAAAGACTAGGATGACTTTTCCTGAGCCCCAAAGGCCACCTGGCCCTTCCCTCAAAACATTTCCCTCCAGAGGACACCTCTATTTGAGAGCTTTAATTTAGTCACCTGTCTAGGAGCACAGCTGATACTGTATCTGATCTGCTCATCAGCCTTTATTTAACTCTTCCTTTGGGTAACATCTCTGCTCCATTCTTAGACCCTGTGGTTTTGAGAGACTGATCCTGCTCCCTGGTTCCAAGGGAACCTGTGACCCAGGACTAGGCAATCATAAGTCTGGAGCTGTAGTAGCTATCTTTGCCAACACGTAAGGACAATCTGAGAATTAAGCAAACACAGAGGAAAACAGCTGAGAGATGAGACTGATTTCTGATGAATACCTGGATCCAACCATGCCTGAAGGTAATGCTCAGGACTTTTTAGTTATGAGTCAATAAATTCCCTTTTTCTTTAAGTCAGTTTAACTTGGGTTTCTATCACTTACAACCAATACTTCTGCTTAATACTTGCGCTCCCCTTATCAACCTGGAGACATCAATTCATCCTGAGATCACTGACCCCAAGACTGAGTTGGCTGCCCTTCCATGCTCCCTGATGCTGTGTACCCACTCTAGCATTGCTCTTCACATACTGTATTATTATCTGTTTCATTCCCTGTCTTCTCTTTTAGACTAAACTTTGAGTGCAGGAACTGGGTCTTATTCATCATATTGGGTCCCCAGTACCCAGTATAGGACTGTGGTTGTTTTAATGACTGAATGGTGGTTGAGTAGATTAATGGATAAATGAATAAAAGTGGGTATGGGCTGGGAGGGACCACTGCTGAGATTTCACAGAAAGACTTTTTAAATTTTTTTATTTTATTTATTTATTTATTTATTTATTTATTTATTTATTTATTTATTATTATTTAATCCTCACCCGAGGATATTTTCCTACTTTTGTTTAGAGTGGGAGGGAGAGCAAGGAAGAGAGAGAGGGAAACATCAATGTGGGAGAGACACATTGACTGGTTGCCTCCCGCACAACCCCAATCAGGGCCAGGGACAAACCGCAACCAAGGTACATCCCCTTGACTGGAATCGAACCCAAGACTCACTTGGGTCTATGGGCCAGCACTCTAACCACTGAGCCAAATCGGCCAGGGCTAGAATTTTTATTTTTATTTTTATTGATTTTTAGGAGTGGGGGAAGAGAGAGAAACATTAATCGGCTGCCTCCTGCATACCCCCTACAAGGGCATTGTACCCTGACTGGGAATCAACTGGTAACCTTAGGTGTGCTGGACCGTGCCCAACCAACTGTGCCACATGGGCCAGGGCCACTGAAAGACTTTTTTTTTTAAGCCTTCATCCATGGATATTTTTCTATTTAATTTCAGATAGGATGGGAAGGAGGGAGACAGAGAGAGAGAAACATTGATGTGAGAGAGAACATCAGCTGGATGCCTCCCACATGACCCCTATCAGGGCCAGGGACAAACCACAACCGAAGTACATGCCCTTGACCAGAATTGACCCCAAGACTCATTGGTCAGCAGGCCGACACTCTTAACAGCTGAGCCAAACCTGCCAGGGCTGAAAAACTTTTTGTTTTTTTGGTTAATCCTCACCGGAGGATATTTTTCCATTAAAATTTTTTTCAGCTCTGGCCTGTTTGGCTCCGCAGTTGAGCATCAGTCTGCAGACCAGAGAGTCCCAGGTTCGGTTCCTGCTAGGGGTATGTACCACAAAAAAATAAATAAAATTTCTTTTCAAGAGAGTGTGGAAAGGAGGGACAGGGAAAGGGTGGAAGGAAGAGAAAGAAAGAGAAAAACATCAATGTGAGAGAAAGATATTGATTGGTTGCCTCCTGCACACACCCTGACCAGGGCTGGGGATCAAACCTGCAACTCAGGCACTTGTCCTTGACTGGGAATTAAACCTGAGATACTTCGGTTTTGGGGATGACATTCTAACCACTGAACAACACCAGCCAGGGCACAGAAAGAATTCTTGAAGGAGCTGAACCTCTAGTGGTTATCAAGGTCAAAGGACCCATGTTGCTGAGGTGGGAAGAGTTAGGGACAGGACCTAGAAGAGATGGGCTGTAACATGTAGCTGATTGTATCAAAAATGTCCTCTCATGCCTGGGCTCAGTTGGTTGAGCATTGTCCTATGCACCAGGAGGTCGCTGGTTTGATTCCCGGTTGGGGCACATGCCTGGGTGGCAGACTCAATCCCACTGGGAGGTATACAGGAGGCAGCCGATCATTGTTTCTCCCTCATCGATGTTTTTGTCTCCCTCTCCATCTCCCTTCCTTTCTCTGAA